GGTGGGGAACTTCATTGGATGCTGAAAGAACAGTTCACACCACTAAGCTTGAATAAAGCGGAATAAAAGTAAAGACTTGCCTTAGGGTCAATTATCGTCGACGACGCAGACTTTGAAACAAAACGAATGATTTTTCTTGATCTCTCACTGAAGGGCGACTGTTTGAGTTTCACATTATCGATGTCAACGCAACGGTGCTAAATACGAGATGGGCGTGAACTTAAGGAAAGCTTTCTTTTATTCAGATGCAGCTGACAAAAGGTTCATTCCTTGAATTTGATTTGTTTAGTGTTTACCTTTAAAACGGAAGTTAAAGGGCAGTTTTCCGAGAAAAGAAACGAAAATTCAATTTCCCGCTTTAACGGAAAATCTAATAGATAATCAGGAGAACATCCAAAATCTCAGAAAGTCCATAATAGATGACATTCTATACTATTAGTTTGTTCTTCAACAGGTGTTTCTTGTTTACTTACTTACTTACTTACTTACTTACTTACTTACTTACTTACTTACTTCGTCAAACTTTGTCTTAAAATGTTTGAGTCGCCCTTACTTTTCCTAGAGAGAAACCTGTAGCTTCGCGCGGATATATGCTTGGAATTTATATCCACCAATAGCGAACAAAAGTCCTGTTGATCCAATATTGTTGTTTTCACAGTTGAAGTCTTCAGTTTTTTTCCGCTTTCTTTGTTTGCGTGCCGAGGTCTGTCTGTTTAACATGTATGAAGTTTTTCTTCTTAGAATGTTATTTATAGACATCTCCTGATGCCCACGTGACAGGAATTTATGTATACCTTCCTTCTGTGGAATTTACATTCACACACTAGAGACCAAAGTCCGTCAGTAAGCTGTTAGTCACCAACCTCTAGACCTTGGCATTTTGTTTGTAATTCCTGGAAACTGTGTTAGCCTAACCGTTGAAAATTTGCAACTGTACTGTTTCTAAGTACCAAAATAATTGCAATAGAAAGAAATCAGCCATTTGACTTTGAAAGCAAATTCTCGCACTCCGATTTGGTAGATACCTAGGCGAGGTATTTAGATCGGAATTGCGTTTCTTCCAAGAAACCTATAACTTCACGAGGACATATGCTTGAAATTTATATCCACCAATAATTGTTGTTTTCACAGTTGAAGTCTTCAGTTTTTCCGCTTTCTTTGTTTGCGTGCTGAGGCCTGTCTATTTAACGTGCATGAGAGAGCAAAATCATTTCAATTCACGTGATAGACAAACATGCTTTCTTTATGTTCTCCAAAAGCGATGCTTTTCGTACTTTACGCGGCGTTAAAGGCGTTAAATTTAGCTTCCCAATACAATATTCGAGACTAAACTACTTGGAAATTTGGAGTATTCCAAAGAATGATGCCGGGAACAATTGAATGAAATTGTTATGCAACTCGGTGACAAGATTGGAGTTGAGCTGAAAAAAGAGAATATAACAAGAAGCCACTGTCTCTCGACAAAATTAAGTGAAAGTGAACGGCGAAAGATCTACAATCCAACCGGCCATTATTAGAAAACAGTTCACACTGACATTGCGGCAGAATCACTCAAAGCGGTGTGATCTTAGCGTAATATATTCGCCAGACATGCGAGAGACAACACTAAATTTATCAACCCAACCTGAAAAAAAAGAAATAAAATTAAAGACTTACCTCGGAGTTAATTATCGTCGAAGATAAAGACTTAAACAACGGAAAAACTGACTGACTTCTCGTGAACTGTCACTGAATAGCGACTGTTTGAGTTTCACAGTATCGATGTAAACGCAACTGTGCTAAGCGCGAGAAGGGCGTAAACTTAAAGAAAGCTTTCTTTTGTTCAGTTGCAGCTGGCAAAAGACTCTTTCCTTGATATTGATTGGTTTAAACTGACCTTTGAAACGGAAGTTAATTCTATATAAAGGGCAATTTTCTCGGAAAAAGCAAAAGGAAAATTAAAAAATAACTTTTCGACTTGCCCTGTCAACAGAAAATCCGACAGATAATAGGCAAATACTGGATGGAGTAGTATATAGGGAATTAACCAAATACCATTTCACAAAGGGAGCCTTATTTCACCGTTTCGCAGCCCCCATGTTCAACCTGCCCTCACAAGCTCGGGCCGGTTGAACATGGGGGCTGCGAAACGGTGAAATAAGGCTCCCTTTGTGAAATTGTATTTGGTTAATTCCCTATATACTACTCACAACAGTGGCACCCCCGCGCAGCGCCCCGCCAAACGAGGGGCGGCGGAGTGGTGCGCGAGGGGCGCGGGAGCGCCGCGTCCCGCCACGAGAGGTGGCCGCGGCCACTGGAAAGAAC